ACTGGATGACCACGGTTCTTCCTATTGGTAATTCAATGTAGGAATCCATACTGGGTACTGTAGTAATAGGAAAGTCACACTTGGGAAAAACAAGCACAAATGTGTAAGGTGATAGCTCTCACTACTATTCCCCCCTTTTACTTTATTTTAAGTGATTAAATATATCATTTTGAATATATTTTTATTTTAAATTGTTGTAAACAGAAAGTTTATAAGAAAGAGAGGGAGAAATCCCCATTATTTTGCCATTCAAATGTAACCATCTCTTTGGGTGTTTTCTGTGATCTTTATTTACAATATACATTCTTACATAGTTCTATGTACTTAGGTATTTATCATTTTTCCTTTGTTTAAAGGTTTTATTTACTTATTTTTAGAGAAAGGGTAAGGAAGGGAGAAAGAGAGGGGGAAACAAACACCACTGCAAGAGAGAAACAGTGATCGGTTGCCTCTCGCAGGTGTCCAACTTGGGACTGAACCCACAACCCAGGCATGCGCCCTGACAGGGAATCGAACTGATAACCTTTTGCTTTGTGGGATGAAGCCCAGCCAAGTGAGCCACACCAGTCAAGGCTAGCATTTTTCTTTTAACAAAACTAAAACATTTTTAGAGGCAATATTATTTGATGATGTAAGATAATGTATTCTAGACATAATTTGCTTAACTTTACCTGGAATGTTGGGCATTAAAGACTGCCTTCACTTTTCCTGTATTACAAATATTTAGTAAGAAGATAAGAACATTTTATCACATTTTTATAACAGTTGTTAAATTGGTTTCCCAAATACTTTCGCTTATTTAGACTGCTATCAGCAATATGTGTCAAAATTCACTAATGCTTCCTCTCACTGGGTATTAATATTTAGTTGTTTAATTTTAATTAATTAATTAATTTTAATCCTCACCCAAGGATATGTTTATTGATTTTAAAGAGAGAGGGAGGGAGGGAGAGAGAGAGAGAAACATCCGAAACATTGATTGGTTGCCTCCCGTATGTGCTGCAACCAGGGATCGAACCAGCAACCTTTTGGTGCATGGGACAATGCTCCAACCTACTGAGCCACCCGACCCAGGCTGGGTATCGATATTTAAAATTACTTCTCTCATTTTATATGTGGAAAATAATGTCTGACACTGGCTTAGGTAAAGGAGGATGCTGTTGGATTGATGCAAGGGTAGCTACCAGGGCCCCAGGGAAGGTCGCAGGAAGCGCAGCTGGAACTTGTCAGGGCCTCAAACAGGGCAGAAGTCTATCGAGCCCTCGCTTCCCCGCACCGGGTTTCCCATCTCCATCTGCTTGGTCTGTCTCTGTGTGCCTGAGGCTTTGCCTCCGGCTCTGTGTCAGTGCATGTGTGTATTGTCTGTCTGTGTCTCGTTCTGCATTTCTTGGAGTCCGTGGTCTGTTTCTCATTGCCTGTCTCTCACTTCCTCTCTGCCTGCCCTGCTTTCTCATTCTCTCCTCTCTGCTTCCCCTGCACAGGGCTAAAAATAGCTCCCCACAGTAGCCCCACTTGTCCCTTAAGTTTCGTGGTCATGAGTCTGTCTCTGTCCCTGTGTCTATCTTACAGATTCTGGGCAAAGTGAACTTGGTTGGCTCAGCTTGGTCAGTGCAGTGGCTGCCTTCGGTTTGGGTCACCCCGGTAACCACAGGGAGAGGCGGAGCACAGAGAGGAGGGGGCAGTGAGAGGTGCCCCCTTATAGGTGCCTGTGATACAGTCCTGAGCCCAGTCATGATGGGTTTCACTCTGCAGACATAAGTCAGCAAGAGGGTCTTGTAACAGTCTTTTGTGGGCCTATGAAAGAAAGAACTGAGATTAGCAAAGACCTCCTCTTGATAGAGAATCTATCGTAATTGATGGAAAGTGTCTTCTAGGATTAGATTTGCTGTCCCTAAGGTGAAGATGACTTTGCTTAATTTGTCCCATCACTGATACTGCTTGTATGTGTGTGGGGGGCGGGGGGCAGGCGGCAGGGCGGGGAGCTGTCTTGCAGAGAATCTCTGAGGGTCACACTTACATGTTTGCTCTTTCTTTTTCTTTTGTTCTTCTGTTAAAACTAATTCAATCGTGCCTTTTGTTTGTTTGTTTTCTTTCTCTATTGACTCTAAGGTAATTAGCTTACTTTGTACTCAGAATTACCCCCATGGTTTCCCAAAAGGAGGATAATCCACCACTGTCTCCAGAAGCTCTGGGTCAGGGAGAGTGTGGGTAGTTGTAGGGGCTGGAGGTGGGGGCAGGGGGGACAGAGATCCTTGCCCTGAAAACGTGAAGTGGGGCTGGGGAATTAGGCTCAAAGAGTAGGGTTGACAGCAAGGCTGTGTGTCAGAACCAGGTGGTCAGGCTAGAATGAGGTCAGACTGAGGACTGGGGGTGAGCAGGGCTCTGTGTAAGTCAGGGGAGAGCCAGGTGGAGGGATGAGGAGAGGGTGGGGTAGGGTAGGTGGGGGGAGGGCTGGGGAGGGTGGCCCTGCGTCGTTACAAACTTCCCAGCTCTCCTTTGGGGTTTTATGGCGATGATGAATCACATAATGCAGCCCATTTCTCTAATTGTTTCGTAAGTAGTACATAATTGTGAAACCACGTTGTAAAGGCACCAAGGTAGTCACTGAAAACTTAATCCCCCCCCCAGTCACTCAGCCACACAGTTTCCCCGGGTAAGAATAGTTTCCTGGTTGAGGAAACCAGGAGACCAGAGGCCACTCGCTCAGAGCACACCGAGGCAAGGGCAAGCCTGCCTCTCCGGCACCAGGCTTGGTGCCACGTCCAGTTCGCTGCGCTGTGCTCTGTCGGGACCCTCCCGACGTAGTCCAGACACTCAGCGTTTATGGATAGTTTTTATTACTATTTTTTAACCACTTGTTTTCTATTTCTACCTAAACAATACCTTTTCTGAGGCCAGGCCAATCCTGTTAGTCCCTATCACAGTGCATGTCAGTTACTCTAGGGTATTTTTACAATGAATTACATCCGCCATACTAACGGTGTTAGAGGTACAGAGCTTCCACGAACGTCATTCAGGTGCCTGCTAGGTACTGGGTGGAGGACATAAAACTGATAAAACACTGTACTGACCAAAAGAGACTTTTAGAAGTTGCCAGAAATCATCACTTTTCATGTATCTTCCCTACAAAATGTATGTTTTTAAAATCTGGCCATTGGACTTTCTGTATGAATGTTGTACTTCAACCAAACGTTTTTCAAAAATCCTATAATGTGAACTCCTTTGTCTGCCTTCAATTTCTAGATAAGCAGACATTTCCTGAAATTCGAATTCGGGGAGAGGAGCAAAATGCCGCGGACACTCCCAGCCCTGTAGATTCCTGGTGAATGGGTCTGCGTGTCCCAGTGGCAGTGCGTGCGATTCCCACCGTGGACCATGGCCTGTGTTTGTCCAGTGCTTTGGGATACCAAGGGAACGATGGGACCAGAGGGTGTGCACCCTGTCTCCCAATACCGTAGCTGGGGGTACTGCCACTCTGAGTTATGTTCTAGAGTTGAACTTGGAAGGCGATTTCCCCTTACGAGAAGTGTCATCAGCTTTCTGCTTCAAGTGCATTGCACAGATCTCTCTGAACGCCCTCCATACATGACCACAAGCTAACAGATTTCTATGAAAAAAATGAGTTTTGAGTTTCAAATAGTTGATTTATAATTACCTTTTGGAACATAACCTTTGAAAAGTTGAGATGATTTGTGGTTGCTTTCTTTTTTTTTTTTTTTCGTTTAACTATAGCTTGGATTGTTCTTTTGACCAGTGAATATCTATTTTAAACTACATGGTGGCATTTCTGAGAATTATAGTTGTAGTAACTTTTTTTTTTTTTTTAATGTGGGCCTTTGCTAAATGCAAAGCAAGCGTACAGATCAAAGATCACACAACTGTTTTGGAGCTTAAAGGTCATTTGAACGTCACATCTAGATTTGGCTTTTAATTAGTGTTTTAATTAGACCTGATTGCTTGTAAATGGGCCCTCAGTGATCTAAGCCAGCACTGCCTACCAGGATAGAAGAAAACCTTCAAGATCCTGGAGGACCCCATGTTTTGTTTCTGGATATGACTGTCAGCAACCTCTCAAATGAAGAAGAATCTCCATGACCTATTAGAGAGTTCTGTGATGACTAATGTGGCAGGTAGGGTTGACAAGTCTTGTTATAATTTGTATTGGTGTTTCCACATGTTGAAGTAGACTTTGACCTTTGACTTTTTGCCATTTCATTCTTTCCTTTCTCTGAGTCTACTAGAGCATATAGATTCAGGCTTTATGTGGACTGATATGAAATTAGAGGTTCCCATGTTGATATTATTTAACTCGCATTTGTTTTCAATTTAGTATGATATTTTGAAGCAGTCATGATGGAGTTCTCAAAACTTTCTTATTCGAGCTTTCTTCAACTCTTTCAGAGCACAGACTATTCTTTGAACCTAAGGGCTAGAATTCAGTTCATATATCTGACTCTGCAAAAGTAGATTTACCTCAAGACCAGTGGTTTTTGTGGAAGGATATAGGTAACTGCATATCTGATTCTATTTGAATCAAAGATTATTTTTAGAAGGGGAGAAATTTTTTATTGATATAAAACTTACATACCACAAGCTTTACCCTTTTAGAGTCAGTGATTTTTTTTTTTTTAGTACATTCACAAAATTGTGCAACCGCCACCGCTATTTAATTCCAGTGCATTTTTATCACCCCCAAAAGAAATCTCATACTTCTCCATTCCCCCCTACCTTCAGGCCAAGGCAAACACTACTCTATGTCTCTATAGATTTGCCTATAATGGACATTTCATATAAATGGAATCATACAATGTGTGGCCTTTTTTTATCCCTCTTCCCTCATTTAGCATAATGTTAGTGTTTATCCATGCTTAGTGTGACTCAACTTATTCCTTTTTATAGCTGAATAATATTCCATTGTATGGTATCTTAGTCAGTTTGGGCTGTTATAACAAATTGCCTTTGACCAGTTGCCTTACACCATAAACATTTATTTCTTACAGTTCTGGAGGCTGAGAAGTCCGAGATCAAGGGGCAGCGAAGCCATTGTCTGGTGAGAGCCCACTCCCTGGTTTGTAGATGGCCATCATTTTGTATCCTCACATGCCTGGGAACAGAGAGAGGAAACGAGCTTTCTTTTTCAAGGGCGCTAATGCCATTCATGAGGGCTCCACCCTCCTGACCTAATTCCCTCCCAATGGCTCCACCTCCAAGTACCATCACACTGGAGATTAGACTTCAACATATGAGTTTTGGGATGGCACAAACATTTAATTTGTAACATATGGATGTTCCACTTTTTATCTGTTCTTCAGGAGATAGGCATTTGGGTTTTTTCACCTGACTATTATGAATTATGATACTGGGAACATTCTTGTACAAGTTTTTGTCTGGACATGTGCTTTAAGATCTCTTGGGTATATCCCTAGGAGTGGAATTGCTGCCTCACCTGGTAGCTATGTTAAACATTTTGAGGAATTGTCAGACTGTTTTCCACAGTATACATTCCCACCAAAGTGTGTAAGGGTTCTAATTTCTCCACATCCTTGCTAACACTTGTCATTATATGCTTGTTGTTTGCTTGCCTATATCTTTTTATAGTTTTTTTAACCTTTTAAAATATTATCTTTTTTTATTGTTAACACTACTATAGATGTCTCCATTTTTTCCCTCTTTGCCCACCTCTGCCCTGTACCCCTCTTCCCTCTGGCCATCACCACGCTGTTGTCTGTGTCTAAGGGTTATTTAATTTGTATTTCTTTCATGGTTAATGATGTTGAACATTTTTTCATGTGATTTTTGATAATTTCCATGTCTTCTTTGGAGAAATGTCTATTTAAGTCATTTGCCCATTTAAAAAATCAGGGTGGTTTTCAATGTTGAGTTGTAAGAGTTCTGAATATATTCTGGGTACTAGACCCATATCAGATGTAAGATTTACAAATATTTTCTCCCATTCCGTGGTTGTCTTTTCATTCTCTTGATGTTATCCTTTGAAGCATAAAATTTTTAAATTTTGATGAGGTCCAACTTACTATTTTTTCTTTTACTGCTTTTGTTTTAGTTGTTATAGTTAGAGATGATGACCTAATCCACGGTCAGGAAAATTTATCCCTATGTTTTCTTTCAAGAGTGTTATATTATAGTTTTAGCTCTTATATTTATGTCAGTTTTATATGGTATGATGTAGGGGTTCATCCTTTTTTATCTTCATCTTTTTGCATGTGAATAATCCACTTATCCTTGTACCATTTGTTGAAAAGACTATTTTCCTTACTGAATTATGTTGTCACCTTTGTCCAAAGTGAATTGGCCATACATGTGAGAGTTTAATTTCTGCATTTCCAATTCTATTCCATTTATCTATATGTCTGTCTTCATGCCAGTACACACTGACTTGATTCCTGTAGCTTTGTAGTAAATTTTGAAATTGGGAAATATGAATCCTACAAATGTGTGGAGATTATATTCTTGATATGATGTTGCTATCCACCCTTCTCCCTCACATTCTGTGGGAGATCTTTTCTTTGCCATCATAAAGTCATATTAGATATGTTACTTTGAAGTGGCCATGAATTCAGTTTCAGGTATATCCTCACTATTCTTATATAAAAGGTATGGATTTGGAATCAGGAATATTGCAAATGTTTGAATACTATCTCTGTCTCAGTTTCTTAACTATAAAAAGGAAGCTTAAAACCTAAGTCAAAGGATAATTCTGAGAATTAAAAAAATACAATAAAGAGATTTGAAAAATAAATAAAATAATTCTTCTAATGTTCTCCCACTAAAAAAAGAAATGTAATATCTATAGAAAAGTATCTAGCATGGCACCTGGAAAATGATAGATATGAAATAAATTATCTATTGTCTTTCCCATGCCCTTCTCATGGATGTAAAAATTTCCCTTGTACTTTATGAGATGGTTCTGAACTCTTCCTTAAAGTCAGCCTTCTTCCTTTAGAGACTGTTCTTTCCAAAGTCATCATGTGGGTTGGTGTTACTGAATTTTCTAGTCTATTTTTGTGGCATTGTTTGTAGTACAGTGTTTCAGACTTGCTTCACTGCTTTATTGCCGACCAATAGTAAGTGACCAATGAACGTTTGTTAAGTGAATACATTGTTGATCCCATGTTCCTGTTTCCTTGGTAACTAGACTGCAGATTGCTTAGAGGTAGGTTTTGAAATAAGCATGCATAAAAGTTGCATGAATAATTTCTGAGATGTTTTCCACAAGAATTTTTTTTTGAGCAGTGTGTCTCGTTACCAGGGCGCCCTCTTGGAGTGGTCCTTCTTTCCTGTACATGATGCCGTGCTTGCCATTCAGATGCTTCCTCCACAGGGCAATTCAGGCTGAAATAGAGAAGATTGAGTCTGAGTGGTAACCTTTAGAAAGCAAGGGGAGGGGCAGGGGGGGAGTTAGGTTTGGGGGAAGACCTGTGATAATGAGAGGCCAGGTGGGGTCAAACAGAGAACAGCCTGCCCAGTTTCTGGAACTGCTTGTGGTTTTTATGGAATAGCCATGGCTTCTCGTCACTCTGTACATCTCTCAAGCCTAGACATGAAACTATAAGCAAAGAGTATCCGAGTGTTATTACTGGCTTTTAGGAGCCTGATTCATAGCCAAGAAACAGTGCCTGTGCATGTTAAGCTATTATCTACAGGACGAGTAAGCCACACTTTAAAAGAGTTTCAACTTCATGGACTCATAGGATAACTGAGTTTTAAAATTAGACAGGATCATCAGACTAAAGGAATGTTGGTGAATGTTACCTCAAACAATAGATTCCATGATCAAATAGGTTTGCAATTAATTCGACAAAGTTAACAGCTTTGGCTTTTGTTGTTTGCTTGTTTTAACTCAGGACCTCTCAAGGCCTTTATGTGTTAATATGTGATACTGCGTGTCTTCAGAGGGGTGTAGAAGCAGCACTCCCCGAGGTAATGGTCTGTGGGGACTTATTTCTTTCCCCCTGGAGAGCCCTGTGGGACCGGTGGTTAGCAGAGGGCACTATGAATTATGGTACAGGGTAATACCTTTATTTTTCAGACACAAAGTCTGATTTCTTAGTCTTTTTGAGTTGCTATTTCTCAGAAAGGTCATGTCTGCTGGTACGTTACCTAGAAACTGACTGTGTCCATTGTCTTACTAAGACAACTTTCAAAACAGCCCGTGCTTCAAACAGGAGGTAAAAATCTATGCATATTTAAAACACTCTACCTTCCAGGATCTTTTTAAAAAAAAAAAAAAAAAATGTACTACTTGAATAGGTTGATCTATGTGGTGCCCTGTTATCCCTGAGCTAATGAACTGGTGAAGTCTGCTTGCTGCAGCTTTTGCTCTTATACATACTCCCTAAGTTGGGGGACAGGATTGGGACACATACAAAGCGAAACCATTGACTTCTGCTATGAAATAAATAAAACAGGGACAGCTGTCCCGAGCGGCCAGACAAGCTTGTTACGACTAGAATGCATTCTTGGAGTTCCGTGGGAGAGAAGACTGCTGGCAATGCGGACCCAGGCTACTCTGCACTCTCCCCTCGCCCCTCCCTCACCCAGGCACCCACCTGCCTTCTCCCTTCAGAGCCACCTAGCAGGGCTTGCTCATTGAACTCGCTTTAAAAGAGAGGGTGGGGAGGAGAGGAAGAAAGAAAGGAAGCGGAAGAGGGAGAAGGGAACACAGAGAGAGAGAGAGAGAGAGAGAGAGAGGGCGTGGGCGGGGGGTGGGGGAAGAGGTATTGAGAGAGGTCTCAGTGGTAGAGCTGCCTTGACTTCCAGTGAACCTGGTTTGCATGTGTTGGAGTGTCACTCTGTCCTGTAACAGCAGCTCACCTGGGATTCCCAGTGTCAACAGTTCCCATTCACCCCTCTAGTAAAAGACCTTAGCACCACCGATTTTCTCATCCACGTTCTTGGGGGGTTTCTGAGGTCCCCTGTTGGGCGACTGTGGGAGGCCTGACCTAGGCAGATTCTCCCCTCTTGGGGCCTCATGCTTCTCCGCCAACTGGGACACCGCCGAGAAAGGAACGTCAGAGAATGAGGGCCGCCGGAGGTGTCTGAGTCAGTCTGAGATCGGCGAGTGTTCGGGGAACAAGGGGAGTGTGGGTCAGGTGACCATTGTAGGGAAAGGCACCATACAAATCAGAAAACTAATGACTGTTTTCTTTTTATTTTAGTGATTTGTGTTTCTTATTTTTAAAAATCAAGTGCTCTCTGTGTGTGTGTATATATGTGTGTTTTGTATATATATATAGTTTTGTCAATGTAAGAAACATCCAAACCTGTGGCGAATTTTTACGAGTTTATTTGCGCGAAACTGATGACAATTGCCAGGAAGCAAAATCTCAACGGATTGAGAAATGCTTTGGCAAATGGCGGTTTTACCACTTATTGTATACCTCAGAATCCAAAGGGAGGTGACAGGAACGCCGCTGGTGATGGATTAGGGGGGTGGGAGGAGGCAAAGTGGGGAAGTCTCTGAGGCTGGACACAAAGTAAAACGGAGAAACATATACTTTCACATTGGGAGGTATAGGACAGTTAAAGATGACCATTTACTGCACACAGAGATGGTATTTGGGCAACAAGATAACAATAGGGGGTTCCATGGTCTCATGCTGTGGTGGGAGATGGTGCCCTGAGGGGTCTGGAAAGAAGATGACTCTGACATTCCAAAGGAATGTTATCTTAGATGCAGAAAGACAACAGACAGGCTCACTGATGGAAAAGACTGACCTTTGTCAAGGAAGCTGCAGGCCTAGGACCTGACTACCCACCATGACTCACTTTTATTTGGACCGTTTTAGTTTCAGGCCATCCCGTGTGGTTACTTTCGGTCTCTGAATTTGTAAGGCCTGCCCTGCAGGCACCCCCTGAGCTCATCAGGTTTAGTATGTGGCTTCTTTTCCGTCCATCGTTCAAAGGGGGAAATTAAAATAATTACCCCAAAATCTCAACCAGAAGATAACCAATGTTAACGTTCATTCCAGGCTTGCCTTGATGCATATAGTGAGAGAGATGAGTAGAGGAATGGATACATAAATGACAGGC